AATTTTCAGAAACTCTAGTTCAGAAATGTTTTCTTCAGACACAACAACAACAACTACAGATTTGTTCTGTAACAACGACCTTTACTCTGTTAATGAAACTCTCAAGATTTTTGACCATTTTACCCCTCACATCCTCTCTTCATCTCCTCCCACTGATCTTCTCGGAACCCTAACTCTCTCTCATCAAATTCCCACCGGAATATTTCCAGATTTCTCCGATTCCATCAAAACAGAGCGGGTTTTCGATGGTAATCATCAGTCATCAATGGCGCGAAGCTACGGTGCGATAGAGAATGCAGGAAGATATATGCAGAGAAGCTTTAGTAGCAATTCGGTTGATGGAAAACCGAATCAGCTCCCGTTCGATATTCCGATAATGGAGTCGTCAAATTTCAGTTACAATACCATGAACTCGCCGGAAAATGCTTTCTTTACCGGTCAGATGATGCGGCGAGTCTGCAGTACAGGAGATTTGCAGGTCTCTGTTTTTAGGGTAACTAAAGTAAATGACCTTACTATTTACAAAAAACTATTGAAGTGGTATTTTCGTAAGTTAGTGGTATATTTTGGAGAAATTCCTTAAAATACCACACTTTCAAATTTTGTTTTTAAAAATACAACCATTAGTTTAATTATCTAAAAATATCATAAAAATTTGTCGGGTTTCGCATATATATTTTTATCAAAAATTTCGTACAATCAGCTATCTCAACAAACAAACTTGCTTTAATAAAAAAAAAAATTATTGCGCAATGTAATTTAACTAAGTTTTATGTTATTTTTATATTCGTTTTCAGAACCTAAAGAAAAATTTCACCGAGCAAAAATCCTCGGTGACATTTTCCGACGAACAAAACTTTAAAGTGGGGCGTTATAATGCAGAAGAACGTAAAGAGAAAATCTCAAAGTACAGAGCTAAACGAAACCAGAGAAATTTCACCAAAACTATAAAGGTAACAATTTTGTTACATTTTCAAAATTTTGAGTGTTTGTTTTATTTTGATTATAAACTATTTTTTTTGTTTGTTAAAAATGGAAACAAAAAAGTATGCATGTCGGAAAACATTGGCGGACAGTAGACCTCGAGTACGTGGCAGATTCGCACGCAATGACGAAGTTGTAGAAATCCCCAACATTGAAGACGACAACATCGAGCTTTGGGTAAATCAAATACTATAAAAACCAGTTTTTTTTTTTAATTTGAATATTTTGTTTTTAATCAAAATAACAATAATAAAAATCGATCACTTGTGTATTAAAATGATTGTGGGCAGAAATTAGATGGGCTGCATGAGGAAGATGAAGCTTTCGTGAGTGGCTTTGGGGTGCAACAGTCTCATTTGCAATACACAACTTCTTCTCCTTCTTCATTCTGGTGAAAAAGTCTTAATCATTTTTTAGAAGAATGTAAATTTTAATAAGTTACACATGTATTGTAGTATAGTAATTGTTGTTGGTTATTTAAAATTTGTATCGAAAAATGTCATTTGTCCTTCCCGTTTGTGTGAATTTTGAAATTTAATAACTTTATTTCAACGAATGCACAAATCCTTGACTCAGGAAGAAGATTCCTTACGGGTTTCCATTCCTTACCATAATGTCAATTTTATAAGAATTTTGATTAGTGGAGTGAAACATTAATTGATCCTTTATGCCCTTTATCATGAATAATCCCGACCATAGTGGATCAAGATCCGCTTTGATCATGTTAGTGTAAGAACCGAAACCATGTAATTTAGTTGTTCGTATAAACTTCTCTTTATATAAACACATTGTAACATCGACGTGTCTTTGAAAGCATTAAAATAATTTGTTAAGATAAAAGTTCTTTCGCAAACCCTAGCCGATTAAAACAAAAAAACTATATATATATGGATTTTTATCATTAACCCTAGTTGATTTTAAATAGTTTGATGATCGGTTGAAAAAGGGAAAATAGTTTGATGATCACTGAGAGGTATATTAGAAAGCCATATATATGGAAATGAACAACATATTTGATAATTCATTATGTCTGTGAGTTATGCCGAAGCAAATACAAAAAAAACTCATTGTTACATAGCAATGAAATTTATTAATTTTCAGAAATTGCAAACCGTACATATATATAATCCAGAATCCAAAAATATACAAATAATCTATAAACGGTTTAGATGTATTTAATATTTACCAAGTGAAAGTTTACCGGTCAGTGAGTACTTAGTTCACTAGTTCAATTCTATTTAAAAATGGTGATTTACATCTGTCATCTACGTGGTATTATCAACGGTTGGTCCATACACTGGTAGAGATTATAGGTTAAAAATCCACAAATTTCACGGTTTCATCTCTTGAAAATAAGTTTAAAAAATACCAAAAAAGAACAAAATTCCGAACAAAGACTAGTGAACAATTTAGGAATGTTTTAAATTTATTAAAGCTTCATAACCTTTTTGGTTATATTTTTGGTAAAAAGGAAAAACACACTAATAGTGCGACATTTTTGGAGAAAATATTTTGGAAAAATAATTTAAGAGCATCTCCATGTAAGGTTCTTAGAAGGGTTTTGGAA